AAAAAATTCAAATAGTAGGAAAGGAAAGAAGAATACGCCAAAGCTTTATTTATTGCATCGACTGCTGTGAAGTCAGATATTTGTAATCAACTGAAGAAACACAATCGAGCGCTTTCATGAGTGATTTCTTCCACATAAGAGTATACCATCTACTGCAAAAATATTGAAAAGAAATACTTGGGCACAGGTTCTAGCTGGACAATGAATGTCAATGAAGTATCAAACAACCAAAACAAACTATTTCAATATATTCAGCCTCGAATTATGGACCAATTCATCATTATTTGGTTCGATGTTGACATCCCCAGTGCCAATCAAACAATAAAACATTTACTTGATCAGCTTCAACTAATCTCGAATGAAATCAAAACATTTTCTGATGTAAATGAATGTGCCGATTTTATTACAGATGTCGCAGATAAAAAAATACTGCTCATTATTTCTCCAATAGCTGGTCAATTATTACTGCCTTTCATCGAACATGTTTCTCAGCTTTATTCAATTTATGTCTTCAATAGTCAACATGCATATGATGATCAATGGACATTCAAACAAAACAAAGTAAAAGGAATATTTTTCGAAATTGAATCTATTTGTAGAGCATTGAAAAGAGACCTATGTCAGTTGGTAAATGACTCGGCATTATTCAGTATTATTTCTACAAATTGTGGTCCTAATTTCAATCAATTAGATAAATCGTTTATGTATATCACATTACTCAAAGAAGCTATTCTTGAAATTGAACATGATCCAAAAGCTCGAGAAAGATTCACACGACTCTGTTTGAATCGCGTTTTTGATGAACCATTACAACCAGAGAAAATATATAAATTTCAACGCTGTTATGATGAACATGCACCAATTTGGTGGTATACAAAAGAGTACTTTGTATATTCCCAATTGAATCAAGCTTTACGAACACAAGATACAGAGTTCATGATTGAAATGGGATTTTTTCTTCGTGATCTTCATCGAGATATCGAGCGGAAATATTCAGAAACTGATAAAACTACAAAGAAATATGTCTATCGAGGTCAAGGACTATCTGTTGCCGATTTTAACAACATTAAAGAGCGAAAAGGTTGTCTTCTGTCATTTAACAACTTTCTGTCGACGAGTGCTGATAGAGAAGTTGCATTATTGTTGGCCGAAAGCAATCTACAGAAAAGTGATCATGCAGGAATTTTATTTCGAATAGAAATCGATCCAAAGGTTTCTTCCACACCTTATGCACTGATTGAAGATGAGAGTGCGTTTGTGGAAGAACAAGAAGTATTATTTTCAATGCCAAGTGTTTTTCGTATTGGTGAAATTATTGAAATCCAGGATCGATTATGGGAGGTGAATCTGAAATTTACTAGTGACGATGATTCTGAACTGACATCTCTGACCAATTATATGAGAAATGAAATGAAAGAAGCTTCCGGTTGGTATTGCATCGCTGAATTGATGATAAGAATGGGAAAATACAAGAAAGCTCTTGAAATCTATAGTACCTTATTTTCAGCAAATGTTCATGACACTGGTTTTGAGGACCAGTGTTTAAATCTTGCACTCGATTTTAATATGGTAACAACGGAGCATCTTTTGGGAAAATACTCAAGTGCGCTTAAACAATTACAAAGCTTGCTTGAAAAGTTATCAGATATATTCCCACCAGATCATCTACTATTTTCTAAAATTTACAACACATTTGGTGTGATACAGCGAGCCATCGGAGATTACAAAACATCATTGTCATACTTGGAAATGTCGCTTCAGATACAACTAAGATCTTCGCCAACAGACCATGCCAATTTATCTATTACTTATTGCAATGTAGCTATGACATATCATATGATGGGTGATAATATTATGGCACTTAAGAGTTATGAGGAAGCACTGGCGATTCAGCAAAAGTCATTACCTGCAAATCATCCTTGCTTGGGATACACTTACGCGA